AATGGTGCTAAAAGGTCTCGGTGAATTTGTTGAATGGGATGAACTGTACTGGAGGGGAAAGACAGGAATAATAAAATTGAGAATAATAAATGTATTACCCACCTCTTCTTGTGGAGTCGAGGTGGGGTACAGCATGGTTAAAACAGAGGGATAAAACACAACACTTTTTTTAGTGTGTCAGGAGTGACTTGAGAAACTGCAAGTTGCTTCTGGTGTGAGAGAATTGGCTGTTTGCAAGGATGTTTTACTATGCGGAGGGAAGCTTCTCTCATGTCCCTGCACGGGAAGCTGAAGCTGACAGACTGGAGCTCACCCCGCTCCCCGGATTCAAACCACCAATCTTTCGGTTAGTGGTTTAGCTGGCACAAGGGTTTAACCCATTGTGCCACTGGGGGCACCTACATCACTATTAAAATAAATATAGCAAGATTCACACAAGGAAAATTCACTGATCAAATGCAGGTGAAAATTCATAAGTTAAACTTGACTGAATACTAGGCATGCCAGAAGAGATAGGTCATCTGTTGAGACTTTGACAGCTATCTGAGCTCTTTCATCAAGTCATTCCAATCTTTGGACGGCCGATGACAAGTTCTTCTGGATAATGGTTGCTGGTCGGGTTCTGGCTGGTTGGAGTTGCCACCTCCCAGAAGATCACAGTGCCCTATGGGGCGGATTGTGTGAGATAAGGTGATCCTGTAGGTAACAAGAACCCAAACTATGTAGGGCCTTAAAAGTCAAAACCAACACTTTACACTTTGCTCTGAAAACTAGACAATGGAAGGCAGATTCTGAAACATTTCTTCCAGTCTCTATGTCCCTTTACTTGCCCTTTTAAACCTTAACTTTTATCCTTTCATCTTTTGTTACAATTAAAATGAAAAGATGGGGCAGAATATTAAACATAAATAACAATAGATGGAATTGTAGTGTCATCTATGAAAACAGAAATGAAGACCATCTGTAGTGATGCTGGGATTGTTTTTAATATGGGAGGGCCCCTATGCTGGCAGGCTGGTTATTAATTTTGCTTACCTACAGGTACTTGCAGAAGAAAGGCAAATTATTTTTCCCATCCATCATCTCTGAAACAGCCTTAAATACGGAAAATCTTACAAGCAGACTGTGTACTTAGAAACCCCTTCTGTATGTAGCTTATTCCCAAGCAAGCGTGCGTAGGATGGATTGTTGGCAGCCTTTATTGTTTCTAGGATGGCTCACAAGAGTAGCTGTCCTCAGTATTTCATTGCGCTTGATCGTTTAGTGCATTTCTGATTGATAATTCCAGTGAAGTCTCAAGTCATAGGGAATCTTGGAGTTCCAGTTTGGCCAGATCATTGTAGGGTTATCCCAAGCCCCCCCCCCCCCCCCCCCCCCCCCGCCAAGTCTTGGAGAAGCTCCTTTTTCCCAGTGTTACATGTACACATGTACAGACAGTCCCCAAGATGTGGACAAAATATGTTCTGTAGGTTTGTGCCTAAGTTGAATTTGTTTGTAAGTCGGAAAAAGTACATTTTTGAAATGTAACTCCAGCCAAAAATATGTATTTTTTAACTTTGGATAGCCTACGGAAGGATTAATACCCTGGAGGTATTTGTTTTATGATGTGTGCCCCTGTTCAACGAAGATCCGCATAGTTAAAGCAATGGTATTCCTCATAGTCACCTAAGGATGCAAGAGCTGGACCTTAGGGAAGGCTGAGCGAAGGAAGATAGATGCTTTTGAACTGTGGTGTTGGAGGAAAGTTCTGAGAGTGCCTTGGACTGCGAGAAGATCCAACCAGTCCATACTTCAGGAAATAAAGCCTGACTGCTCACTGGAGGGAAGGATAGTACAGGCAAAGATGAAGTACTTTGACCACATAATGAGAAGACAGGAAAGCTTGGAGAAGGCAGTGATGCTGAGGAAAATAGAAGGAAAAAGGAAGAGGGGCCGACCAAGGGCAAGATGGATGGATGGCATCCTTGAAGTGACTGGATTGACCTTGAAGGAGCTGGGGGTGGTGACGGCCAACAGGGAGCTCTGGCGTGGTTTGATCCATGAGGTCATAAAGAGTCGGAAATGACTGAACAAATGAATAACAACAAGAAGCCCCTGTTCAGAAGATTTCCCCTCACTTTCTGTGGCTGTGGTAATTGAATTTTGAAAAAAATTGGCTTGTTGTGGAAACAAGGATTGATAATAAAGCTTCAGTAGAGACATCATTTCCCCATGATAATAATTCTTTCAGGAGTGAATTTCCCTTCTGATGGGTAGATTTCTCTCTCTTCCTGTTGTTTCAACCCTGTTCTTAACTGTGAGTCGTTTGCAAGTTGGATGTTTGTGACTCGGGGACTGCCTGTAAAGACATTGGATGCACAAAAGATTGGGGGAAAGAAGTCACCTTAGTACAGGCGTGGGCAAACTTGAGCCCTCCAGGTGTTTTGAAGTTCAACTCCCATCATTCCTAACAGCCTCAGGCCCCTTCCTTTTCCCACTCATCTGCTTTAGTGGCTGAGAAGAAAAAGAAAAGGGCCCAAGGCTGTTTGGAATGGTGGGAGTTGAAGTCCAAAACACCTGGAGGGCCCAAGTTTGCCTATGCCTGCCATAGTAAAATGAGCTTTGAGCTGGCGAATCACACCAAGGGAGCAGGAGGCCATTATAATGTATTGCTTTTCTACAAACGCATGGATTTCTCTCCCTTAGCTTGCCTCTTAATCCAATGAAAAAGAAATGCCAACTCCAGACACATAGAGAGAGAGAGCTCCGCTTCTAAACACTCATGATATATTTATGAAACAGCCTCCCTTGAAACAAGGCGAGCGGGTTTCCTCATTTATCTTCCTCGATAGCCAAGCAAAAGGCGTCTTGCTCAGGGCATTTGGCATCTTTTGCGGATTTGTGGGGTCCAGACAGAGAAGTGTGGGAAGGGGCTAAAGCGGGATGGAGGAGTGTTTATAGGGACAGAATGGGGAATAGATACCAAATGGCCTCCAAGACAAAGAGAAAAGGCCTGCCCAGGAAAAGGAGTTGTGTTTCTACACCAAGGGCTAGGGAAGCCTGAGAGATGGGGTCTGCGGGCATCGAGGGAGTGGTGGGTGAGCAACCAGTCGCCTTTCCAGAGAATCACAGAGTTGCATGAGAGGTCAGAGACAGAGAAGCAAGCTTGAACATGGAAACATAGAGCTGGAAGAGACCCCAAGGGCCAGCCAGTCTGAGCACCTGCAGAGAAGGAAAAGAGAAAGCACTCTGGCCAGATTGGGAAGTTCTTCCTTAAGTGGCATCTCTTTCCCATGTCTGATTCCTCAGCGAGTTGGCTTCAGGAAAGGCAAAAGCTGCACATCACAAGTGTTGAACCTGATTCAGCACATACAAGATGGTTTTGAAAGGCAGAAGATTACACAAGCTGTCTTCGTAGACCTATCAGGAGCCTATGACACTATAAATCATTGCCTTCTCCTGAGAAAAACGTATAATATCACAGAGGACTAGCACATCACCCGTTTCATAGGAAATCTACTACAAAACAGGAGCTTTTTGTTGAGTTCCAGGTCCAGATAAGTAGATGGCGAAAACAGAAGAATGGTCCGCCTCAGGAGAGCGTGCTTGCTCCATCAATGTTTAACATTTACACCAATGATCAGCCACTGCCACAAGGGATGGAGAGTTTCATCTATGCTGACGATTATGCCATCACCACCCAAGCAGGGACCTTTGAAATGGTTGAACAGAAGCTCTCCAAAGCTTTAGGTGCTCTTATTACCTATTACAGGGAAAAACAGCTGATTCCTAACCCATCTAAAATACAGACATGTGCTTTTCATCATTAAGAACAGACAAACATCTCAAGCTCTGAGGATTACCTGGGAAGGAATCCCACTGGAGCATTGTAGTGCACCAAATACCTGGGAGTTACCCTGGAGACTGGAGCCCCCGGTGGCGCAGTGGGTTAAACCCCTGTGCCGGCAGGACTGAAGACCGACAGGTCGCAGGTTCGAATCCAGGGAGAGGCGGATGAGCTCCCTCTATCAGCTCCAGCTCCATCTCCTCATGTGGGGACATGAGAGAAACCTCCCACAAGGATGATAAAAACATCAAATTTTCCAGGCGTCCCCTGGGCAACATCCTTGCAGATGGCCAATTCTCTCACATCAGAAGCGACTTGCAGTTTCTCAAGTCGCTCCTGACACGACAAAAAAAAAAAAAACCAAAACAAAACCCTGGAGACTGGGTGAAGCAGACTGGGTGGGCTTTGTGTGTTTCTACCTGGGGTTTCTGCTTGCCTGGACTACAATGTTACAAAAGGCAGTTTCCATAGATGTGGGCAAAACGTCAGGAGAGAATGCTTCTAGAACATGGCTACATAGCCCGGAAAACCTACAACAACCTAGTGATTCCGGCCATGAAAGCCTTCAGCTTATAGAAGATTTTGTCGAAGGCTTTCATGGCCGGAATCACTGGGTTGTTGTAGTTTTTTTCGGGCTATATGGCCATGTTCTAGAGTAGTGGTTCTCAACCTGGGGTCCCCAGATGTTTTTGGCCTACAACTCCCAGAAATCCCAGCCAGTTTAACAGCTGTTAGGATTTCTGGGAGTTGAAGGCCAAAAACATCTGGGGACCCCAGGTTGAGAACCACTGTTCTAGAGGCATTCTCTCCTGACGTTTCGCCTGCATCTATGGCAAGCATCCTACAACAACCCAGTTATAGAAGGTTGCAATTTCCAACACGAATGGCTATCTCAGCCATCTTTTTCCCAAGATATACACCCCAGCTCCCTAAGTGGCTCCTTTCATAGGGCTTGGCTTCAAAACCTTTGGCCAGAACTGGACCAGAGGGGAGAAGGATGTCATTTCCCTGCCTGCCTTCCTTCCTTCCTAGGAAGGGACTCCACCACCTTCCTTCCTTCCTTTCTCTGGGCGGAGGAGGGCGGTGCCACCCGAGCCTCTCCATCCATCTCTCTCTCTGTTTGTCTGTCTTTCCATCTCTCTCTCTCTTTCGGGGCGGATCCCTCCTTCCTCTTCCAGAGGCGGGGCCAGCCGGGCCAGCCTCGCCTCGGTGGCGCTGAGGCGGCGGAGGGAGCAGGCGGGCGGTGGGCTGGGAGGCAGGCAAGCAAGCGGGGCAAGGAAGGCAGGCAGGAGGCAGGATGAGCGGGACCGGAGAGCCGCCTGCCCCTTCCTCTGCCTCCTCCTCATCCGCTGGGAAGAGCGAGAAGCTGGACGAGGCTCAAGCGCTGGCCCGCAGTTGCGCCGGGAGACCCGACTTCCAGCCCTGCGACGGGCTCTCGCTCTGCGCCACCCACAGCCACGGGAGGTGCTTCCGACTCCACTGGTGCTGCCACCTGGGATGGTGCCACTGTGAGTGCGGGCAAGGGCGGGATGGGGGGGGGGGCTCCTCAGGAGGGGCCTGGACCAGCCTTGGGTCAACTTGGGCCCTCCCTCCAGGGGGTTTGGACTTCAGCTCCCACCATTCCTCACAGCCTCAGGCCCCTTCCTTTTCCCCCTCAGCCGCTTGAGGCTGAGGCTGTGAGGAATGGTGGGAGCTGAAGTCCAAACCCCCTGGAAGGAGGGCCCAAGTTGGCCCATGCCTGGCTTGGGGCTACCACTAACCAAAGGCTTGGGAGCCAACTCCCATTGAGGAAAAGAGATAGTATCAAAGCCAGGTTTAAATATGTGAGAGGCTGTGTCATATTGAGGAAAGGGGCACACTTGCTTTTATCCCCCGCTCCCTTCCTGTTCTGGAGACTAGGATTCAAATTGGCAGAGAAAGAGATCCCACCAGGCTGCATGGCCATCTGTCGGGAGGGCTTTGATTGTGTGTTCCCACATGGGGCTGGACTTTTTGTGTGTCTCTTGAGAAACTACACTTGGAAAGCCATCATACTCAGACATCGAGGGATCGCTTAAGTAAGTATTTTTTTTATTGTATTATATTATATTCCAAAGAGCTCACTTTTGTAAAAATATAATACAATTTTTTTTCATGTCAGGAGTGACTTGAGAAACTGCAAGTTGCTTCTAGTGTGGGAGAATTGGCCGTCTGCAAGGACGTTGCCCAGGGGACACCTTTTTGTTGGAGGGTTTGAAGCAGAGACTGGCTGGCCATCTGTCGGGAGGGCTTTGATTGTGTGTTTCTGCCTGCCTGGACTACAATGTTACAAAGGGCAGCTTCTGCCTGGGGTTGGACTGGATGGCCTTTCTTTTGGAAGGGGGGCTTCATCTAAGTCTTAAGATCCTATGATTCTGGGGTCAAGCTCGTTTCTCCCAGAACATTTGCCTGTGTGACTAAACCTGGATCTAACCCAAAGAGCTCATTTTAGTAAGATTATATATAATACAACATAACCCCACCAAGGATGGAATTGGAACAAACCTCCCACACAGAATCCCCATGTGAGCCACAGCAACGCGTGGCAGGGGACGGCTAGTATCTATATAAATAAAAATGTAATGTTCATTTGTGGGATTAACATAACTCAAAAACCACTGGACGAATTGACACCAAATTTGGACAGCATACACCTAACAGTCCAACGAGTGTCGATCACCCCCAAACACACATACACACACACAAAACCGCAGCGGAACAGACTTAAAAACCCAAAAAATACACCATATATACATATACACATACACTCATACACATATACACATGCACACATTCATACACACATGTATATATATGCACAAACACACACAAATATACATGTATACACACATACATATACATACACACATATATACATATACACATGCACACACATATACACATACATACACACATATTTACACACAAATATGCATATAGACAAGCACACACATATACACAATATGCATGTATACATATATATACACACACATATATATACACAAATATATACACACACAAAACACATATACACAGACTGGGCCACAGCAACGCGTGGCAGGAGACGGCTAGTCTATATAAATAAAAATGTAATGTTAGTTTGTGGGATTAACATAACTCAAAAACCACTGGAGAAATTGACACCAAATTTGGACACGATACACCTATCAAGTCAACGAGTAACCATCACTCATAAAACACTGAAAAACACAGCAGAAGAGACTTGAAAAGCCAAAAAATAAAAAATACATTACAAATATATACACACACATATACAAATATACACACACAAAACACATATACACAGACTGGGCCACAGCAACACATGGCAGGGGATGGCTAGAACTATAATATAATTATATTGTATTCGGAAACCACAGTGGTGCAGTGGGTTCAACCCTTGTGCCATCAGGACTGCTGACCGATAGGTTTACGGTTCAAATCCGGGAAGAGCAGATTGAACTCCGTCTGTCAGCTCCAGCTCCTCAAGTGGGGACATGAGAGAAGCCTCCCATAAGGAAGGTAAAATATCAACCATCCAGGTGTCCCCTGGGCAATGTCCTTGCAGACAGCCAATTCTCTCACACTAAAAGCAACTAGCAGTTTCTCAAGTCACTCCTGACACAAAAAAATTTGTACTGTATTCTTACAAAAGAGAACTCTTTGGATTATAATATAATACAAAATAAAATAAAATACTTAGACAAACCCTCATTGTCCAAGTGTAGTGTCTTGGTAGTGGATACGTTGGTTTATTTATTTATTTATTTATTGTGTCAGAAGCAAACCAAGGGTATGGTTGTAATGTATTTTAAAACACAAAGTAAATTTAAAAACTGGCATTATACTAAATGTCCTTTGACCAGTAACTGGCTACTTGGGAGTGCTTCTGGTGTTGCTATAAGAAGGTCCTCCCTTGTGCATGTGACAGGGTACAGACTGCATTGCAATAGGTGGTCTGTGGTTTGTTCTTCTCCACGCTCACATGTCGTGGACTCCACTTTGTGGCCCCATTTCTTAAGACTGGTTCTGCATCTCATGGATACATTGGTGACTGTAGAGATTTCAGCAGGTATCCCATCAGGTCTGCTGGCTTTATTTTATTTTTTTTGTTGGCTGATGACATGGCTGACTTCCTCCAAACTAGGAGGAAGTATATATAAAATAAAGAATACAATAATAAAATAAAGAATAAAATAGTACAATAATACAATACAATATTATCATATTATAATATGTGCACACACCAAAGATCTGGGTATTGCAGACTACTGTCCAGAGCTGCTGGAGACTGATATTGGGGGGGGGGGGGGGGGGGGGGGGGCGTGCAGCTGTTCCCAGAGGAGGTTTCCCATTTCCACACAGACCCAGGTTTGGATCCGGACTTGGATGTATGGAGAAAGGATCAGCACCCCCTCCTCTCCCCGCCCTTCAGTGGCCAGAGCCAGAGTTTGAGGGCTGGATCAATGCTGGCTGGCTGATGGCGTGGCTGCCTTTCTGTAGTGAAGAGAGCCAGGAGAAGGGCTGGGCTCAGCTGGGCTGGCTCTGTATGGCGTTGGAAGTGAGAGCAAATGATCTGGGCTGAAATGCTGGCAGAGTAACAGTCCTCCCCATATCAACCCCCCTCCCCCAATCTTTGTGTCATTGGAATCCCCTTCCTTGGTCAAAGAAGGAAATCCCTCTCCTGTCTGTCTCAGTCCGCTATAGGGAGTTGTAGATTTCCTTCTGCAAATGCAGATGTTCAGACAGGAAATGTTCCTCCGGTGGGATGGGCGGTTTTTCTCTCAGATGGTGTGCAGTGAGCCAGACTGTCCTGATTTCTCTAAGAAGTAATGCTGGGTGCAAGTAATAGTCATTTAAAAAGCCAATGGTTTTATTATTATTATCATTTTCATTATTACATGAAAAACCAAAGGTTCCTCATATTCCCATCCAAAAAAAGAGGCAGAACTAACAAAGCTGGCAATTGCTGTCTTATAATCATCCTCTTGAAAGCAGTGAGGATTTTATTTGAACCTCTTTTCTCTTTAAAAAGGCATTTTTTGTTTCTGTTTCCTTTCCAAGTTAAAATAAACCTAGGGTGTGTTGTGTTGTGTTGTTTCCGGGCTCTGACAATACATTAAAATAAACCTCCTCTACCTTGAATAGATTAAGCTGAGTAGAAGTGGAGGGGAGGCCATGCAGAAGAAAATGTGTGATGGATGCACTCTTTCCTCCCACTTTTTATTACCGTTGGTATGGATCCAATAACAGTGTGTTTATGGATCAAGTCACAAAACATTTCTCAATTGTTTTTTATCACCATTTCAATATCTAGAACTGAATACTGGAAAAAACATGAGGTATGTTTCAGCATAGAAAACGCATGACAATTTCCCATTTCAGTTTGCTTTTATTCTTAGCCAAGTCTCCATGGATTTCCTCCTCATTCACAGGGTGTCGTGGGCTGGGCTTCTGCCCCAGTTCTAGGAAAGGAATTATTATGGTTCCCAATCCGTATCTGAAATATACAGTTTCTAAATTAGTAGGTTCACTTGGAAACTGCCTTCCCACGAAAGAAATTGCTACTAAACTACTACCTGAATATTTGCATTTCTTATTTAAATATATTATGTTTGATCTTGCTTATTTCTGCTTTTTTTAACCTTTATACTGTTTTGAATGTTTAGCAGTGGACTACTACAGTATTGCAAAGGGCAGTGAGACACACAATATTTTGGGATTAAGGGCATGTTTAGGAGGAACACACATACATCCTTATGATTCCCCAATCTTTGTGTTATATTCTGTTAGCTTTCACTATTTAAACTGTGCAGGTTCTGTTTTCATCTTGCTGTGTCCATCTAGAAAATGAGGCTGTTGCCGAGTGAAACAGCATTCCATTAAAGCTTTAATGATTCATATGCAGTGCTAACCTAGTGCTCTCTGATCATTCCTTTTCATAAAACACACTGCTCAGACTGTTTGCATCTGCTGCTTTACTCCTCCTAATCACACAAGTTGAGTAGATTCTTCCACCTTCACAGCACCAGAATCACAGCATGAGATGATGCTTTCTCTAAAATCAAGACCGGGCTTCTGTAAGACAAGGTTTTGTGGAAGCATTCACTGCAAATACTCCCAAGTGAGACCAAGCGTAGAGCTCAAATCACAGAGCTCTGCATATATAGTTTTAAAAAAACATTGCTTTTTGAGATATTTCTCATGGATTCAAGTAGGGGAAATGTAGTAGAAAGGATATGAAAACAGCTTTGTATTTGCATGGCTTTGGTTGTATGTTTTAAAATACAGCAGTGATGAGTGTGTGTGTATCAGGATTCAGACCAGACATTTGTAGTGGTAGATTGAGTAAAGCTTTTCATCTTGTTCCATAGTCACCTTTCTCTCTGATGCTGCCGTTTGCCCTGAAATGGAAGCTGATATTGTCAGCAAGATATGTCAGTGTGTTTCAGGGTTTTTTTTTGTTTTGTTTTTTTGAGATTGTATGGCA